AAAATAAAATTTTCCCATGCTTCCCACATTTGCCATGATTTGTAAAGAAAGATTTCTGATTTGTTTCAAAGACAAGATGTAAATATATTAGACCAGCTTGTTGAAGTCTTTTCATTTCAGTATCTCTACCTGTTTCTTCATTAGACAATAAAGGGCATTATGCTGTCTGTTGGAGTTTGAGAGTTATATGTTTTCTGCTGCACCAAACAATGGGAAGAAAGTATTTCATCTTAGTCTTTGAAGCACATAAGCAAGTAAAATGACGAATTGCTAAATAAAATTCCATTCATCTTGTTCTACATCAGTATTTGTCTGATGTTTTCACACTTTGTATATGACTACACCTCCTGTGAAGACCAGAAAAATGTATGGCACATTTTAGATGTTTAAAATTGTAAGTAAAAAAAGTTTGAAAACATAGTTGTCGAGTCTGTGTATGCTGAACAGAAAAGTCCACTTCGAGAAGATTTTTCAATTTCAGAGTTTACTTATATGTACATACAACCACAATGCATTTCTGTTGAGCATATTCAACAGTTATACTTTTTACATTTTTTATTGGATGATACTGAGAGAGATTGTGACACATCTCAGCCACCGTCAATGATTGGTTCAGGTCTCTGCTATCAGTGAAAATACAATGTTACAATGGTATAACATGCAGGATCAGTGTGCACAACTTTCTGACTCAGCGATCAAATAGTGTAACAAATAAATTGTTTGTCATGATATTACCACAAATCATCTGACTTTATTTGAGTTGTTTAACACGTGAATCCTGCCACACGTTTAACATTGAGAGTCTGAGCGGCAGAGGTGATCTGTAGGAAGGAATAACATCAGGACTGAGGCCCAGAAAAGCAACAAGACTAAAGCAACGACTATTTCTGCTTTTATGAAACAATATTCATATCAGACTTTGTCTTTGGTTGCAGTTGGACTCTTGTTCCAATATTGTTCAAGAAAAGATTATTTTGAATTTTCCCATCTCCTGACCAACTCTGGGTCTAAGAAATACTTGTCTATGGAAATGTCCTCCCAAAACCACCTTAAACCAATGATGACAAAAACAAGTTAAGATGAGGAAATTATACTTTCTTCATCAATTTTGGATTTGAATACATTTTAACACCGTGTAATCTAAGACTGGTAGAAAAGTACAGTTGACCCAAATTACAAAAGCTACATAAATCCTACATGCCCTTGTGTACAATTAGACTTCACTTACTCAATGTTTTTTAGGGTTAGGGTTAGGGTTACTTTTCATTTGTTTGAG